CCTCCTCCACCCTCATGGATCACCGGGATGGGGATGTAACCTGCTTGAAGACCAGTGCTGCTGGGCCGTGGGGGTTGGTGATGTGGGGCATTGTAAACCTTGAAAGTATATCATATTGAAACAGTGAAAATTCAGTATTTGGTCATTTATTTTCATTAAAAAACTTAACTGATGATCCTTGCTTCATATCTACATTTGTGCATACAAATTATACAGCATTGCAGCATGCATCATCTTCAAATTCAACCTCTGCTGTTTGTGAAACAGGCGATGTGGCCTTTCCAGGCTCAGTGGAGCAGCCGTCTGAAGGTCCATGTAAAGGTGATCTAGGCCTGCAGTGGGGCCCTGGCGTCGGGGAAGGCGTCCGCCCGTCTGTTCGGATATTCTGTGCAGTGGCTGGCTGAATGTAGGAATAACATGGATGCTGTTGCTGCCTCAGTTCTGCGCCATCATGGAAGACTGGGATAGGAACATAACCTGGGCGAAGAATGGGGTGCTTCATCTCCCTCACAAAGGTCTTCTGCGTCTCCTGAGGGCTTGGTTCTGGTGGTATGTTGGGTCCATTTGCTGACACTTCTCTGACCTGAAACACAGCCAGTAGTATATGTCATTAACCAATTCAACCACAAAAATAGTGATTAGTGAGTATAGTGATGTCCTTTATACTACAAACTTGGTTGACATTATAATCCCTGTCCTTTTAATTATTATTAAATATTTTGCCAGGTGATTGGTTTATTTTGAACAATTGAGAAGTTATAAAATCTACTAAAACTAACAAAATGCTTGAGTATTTTAAGTTATTTTTGCTTATATTTTTCATCTTCAGCTCAACATGTTGTCTGCAAAAGCTTATGACATGAAATTAGCACAAGCCACATGCTGGTAAAACAGGCGACGTGCTTTCAGACACAAAATAATGATTTGAGTGACTTGTGTATTTGAACATGTATCTGTCAGTGGCTGGTAGATATTCACATTTAAGTTAATTCCCCACCCCCCATACGCCCAAATGGTCAGATTGGAGAGTGCTCTCAGTCCTGAGATATCTGCAAAGGTTATAGGTTAAAATGTGACATTTCCACAAGGGAATGCCAAAAGTATCACCTCTTTGAGTATTTGACAAATGAAATTAACTTCGGACTACGTCATAATTGCCGTGTTTGTGTTTGATATTTTGCTTCACAATGAGAGTGACATAATTCACCTGGCTGAATTTCCTGACACTTATCCCACTCACAATAGTTTGGCACACCTTCTGAAGTAGCATATTATTGGCTAATTATCCTGTCTACCCAAAGAGAGAGACAACTCTTTTTTGCTTGGCCATTTCACAAAGCCCATGAAGAAGTTAGAGCCAATACTTGAATGATTTTTGCATATACTGTTACATGAATAACTGGATCTCTTCCTTGTGTCAGTCTTCTTTGACCACACCTAATCTGATCTATCTCTTATGAAAAAGAACCTAAATAATCCCAGAAAACATTTGTATGCAGAGATACTGATAATCACACTAAGAACTCATTATTGGGGACTTACTGTTGCAGGAAATTAGCATTAATTAAATAAATATCACAAAAAACACTGGCACTATCAACACACTCCTGGGTGTCAGACAAGGAGACTAACCAGGAATAATGTAAATTGTCATTAGCCATTAGGTAAGGTTTTATTATTATTCTCATAGAGTAATAAGTGACTAGACACCTACCAATGGCAGCTATAGAGCAACAAAGCAACAGGTCTACTGATTGTTAAGCACTCTGTGAAAGATTTTGATGATTCTGAAAAGTCTATGTTTAGTCAAGGCTCTACCTCTATCCACTAAACACAAATACCTACACAGCAAACACTGCATTTATATGTAAGCCAGTGTTTCCTTTAAGACAAAAGTTAATAAGTAGCTGAGAGCGACCCTTTGCCCTCTGCCATTTCAGCATGGGACACTGCTCACTGCCAGCACCATTGCACCAATTTTATCCCCGACAGCTGTGTCTTTCTAGCAGATTCTTCGGGACACTAACTTTGGACAACAGTGTCTATCTCTGAGACGAAAGACTGCCAACTGGCAGCCCGTGAAGCCCAGTTCAGCCCACGGGTTTTCTCTGCAGGTCTGCATGTTTTCCACAACATGTATTAAATCCAGCTGAATATGATATGCAGGGCAGCCAGCGCCTCTGTCGTACTGTTTAACGTTACTCCTCAGGCCAAAGTGAAGCGGACCTGTCTCAATCCTTGTAAGGGAAAAAGTTTAATATGAGCAGGACGTCGCAGTGTTTTCCGTCACGAAAGAAACGTTATTAAAATACTAGAAGCTCCTCATAGATAGCCTTTACATGCTGCATGGTGAGTCATCGAGTAATAATAGTGTTAGATCATGACAACGGGCTTGATCACCCGTTATAATAGGCTTATGAGCTGTCTGTGAGGGGGAGGTGGCGGTGCCAAACAAGGCCTAACGTTACAGTCAACAAGATTAATATATAACAGTGATGTAGCACAACGCTTCTGCCGCTTTATCAGCGCATCAAACCAAAACACGCACTGTCAGCGACGTAGCTCGACACAAACCCGCCGTTAAAGAGTTGTAACGTTACAGCCGTCAACACTGACAAACCAACTTTATGCCGCCGCTCTTTTTACCTTTTTCGTGTCGTGTCTCGGGTCATTCCAGGTTGTCGTGCGGTTATTGTGGTCCACAAAGAAGGGCCATCCAGTCTGAGGGTCAATTTTTACTTCCCATCCGAGCGGGAGAGGGTCGTTGTCATTGTTGGCCATCGTCTGTATCGGTGACTGTGTCTTCATGCCGTTCATGTTGCTGGTTGTCGAGTACTGAAACATTTTATACAGGCGACGGACGCTTTAAAGATTCCTTCAAGTGACGTGGAAAAGTGGGCTGGAAGTTTCTCGAAATAGCAGGGTTAATGTTGGGGGCGGACGACGCTGGATACGGTGGCATGGGTTCCCAAACCTGTTGTGTCGCAGACCCCCCCCCCAACATAGCCTCTGTTCCTCTGCATTATATTTCCCCACTTTAAATTAATAGAAGGGTTTTCTTTCTTTCTTTCTTTCTTTATTTTGCTGCAGCTGTGGAGAAAGTGACCGCTCTGATCATGACAGTCACATTCACTCCTGCTGACTGGGAAATCTCCTCACCTGATATTCCTGGGACTTCCTGGAGCCCCATCGGTCGCATCATTGCGTCCCTGGAGCACAACCTGAGAACAATGTGTATTAGAAAAGGGAATCCCAAGCCTTTTCATAATAAAAGGTTACCCAAATAGATGTACTCAAACTCCCACATGAGAAATCTTGTCCAAGGGAACTCAGTCTGGATTTGCGATGATTTGGTACACAATTACATAACTGTAGTGGTGTGATCCAGTGTAGGCTCAGTGACACCTCTAATGACGGATCTTCCTTAATACAACTCAGCATCATACTAAGAGGGAAATACTAGTAGCCTAAATCTCAAAAAACCCATCCTCACTTGGCTGGAGAAACCACCACGTGGGTTTTTAGAGGTGTTCAAACACAGTTTGGACATCACAGTTGAAGAAAATTGATTTCTGTATTTTTGGACACCTGAAAATAGTGAGAAGATTGACACTAACAAAACCTGTATTACATAGCCTGTGGAGCCAAGTCCTGTAAACTGATGTTTGTAAGTGTAAACACCATATATATAATCCAATTCATATTTATGTTCTTATCTATATAGCATATTTAAAAACGACAAGGTTACCAAAGTGATGCACAAAAAAATATATATAAAAACATAATAACACATAAAACATCAAACAGACAACACACAATATACATTATTTTCCCCCCACATACAGGATTTATTGAATAATAAGTCAGCTCAATAACCATTTTTCAATTGGAACATCAGGGATGTTATTCTATTGTAGCAACACAATATGGGAGATACACATTGATCATAAAGTAGCCAGATTAAATCAGTAACCCGTCTCTTGAACTCATTGTGTGTGTGTGTCCTGACACCCAAAAGTTCTTATTATGATGCTTCTTTTGCTTGGGGAAAAAGTTCCAGTCAGGTCCACATTTTTCAATTCAGTGTGTAACAATAGTTGATGCCTTCAATTGGTGAAATTGTTAATACAGAGATTAATCACATTGACAAATTATTATCAGATTCTTGATTCTGTGACTATTTTGATATTTCTAGAACATTTGTCTGCTATGACCAAGGGCCATCTCTGACTTCTGCAAGCCTACCAACCAGCACTGAATGGATATGTATCTGGTTACCACCCGTCCTGCCATGACCCCTATGGATTAAAGACCTCAGTGTTGCTAAACACAACTTGGAACCACTACTCCTTGGTTGGAGAGTGAGTGAAGATAAACTTTCAGGGTTTTTTGATTGGCATTGTCTTTATAATTTAATAATGACACAGGAGAAACCATACTTTTTGGCCCTTTAATAAAATTACTTCAAAATAAAAGCACCTGCCAAAAACTCATTAAAGCCACTATACTAGGAGGGAAATGGAAAATGTCTGTCTTTGGCGCCCCCTACTATCCCGCTACTATCAAAAAGACATAGTGGCAGACAGTGGTATATTATAGTGTTACAAGACATAGGTATCAGAGCAATTTACTTTTATTGGATTCATTAGTCAGCACTCGATACACTTTAATACACCGTTTGTACAGTTATTAATCAAAAAAACAACGTGTTATTCAAAAGATGCTCACACTGAAGCATTGACATCTGAACACAGATTCCAGAAAGGTCCCCGGTGGTCGAGACACTCCCTGAACCGTCGACCACCGGTGATTAAAACGAGCGTACCCCTCCATTCCACTTCAAAATAAAAGTATCTTACTGAAATACTTCCAGACTTTGCCTAATGTGATAAAGTAACTACTGACGGTGTTTGCTGTTTGGGCTTTTGTAGTTATTAGTAATTCATTAGTCACCTCCAGAAACATAACCATTCTTTATAATTATAATTATAATTTTCACTGCTGAAACTGTAAAAATGGTGGCTTCTGTTACCTCCGATCTCGCCGGGGCTCTTCACGCGCACGCACCCACGCGCTCGCTCCTAGCGTGACGTATGCACTAGCGCCCGGTTAGCTAACTTCTAAGCTAGTTAGCTATTTGTTGTAGTTAGTAGCGTACATCGGAGTCGTTTAACGTTAGCTAACTACATAGTAACTAACGTTTTCTGCCCAGGTGACTGTCGGTATCGGCCATGGACGACGAAAGTCACCCCAAAACCCTGTAAGTAATTTTAGGTGTTTAACAGTAACGTTAGCGGTAGGTATCGTTAGCGACCCGGTGGCTAACTTAGCTACCCGCTGTTTACACAAACGTGGTGCAAACTGCAGGACAACATAAACATTTAATGGTTTAACTATCGTCAGGTCATTTAACATAGGGTAAAATTAACAACCATACGTATTTCATGAGTGCGTGTAATCTGTAAGCGTTAACGGCTGCAGCTGTCTAACATTGTTTAGTTGTTATTAATGGTAATGTTGGGCTAGCTTTAAGCTAATGTAAATAACGTCACATCAATAACTCGCCATTACTAACCACACGTTTTTAACCGAAATAAGCGGCCTGACAGTTTTTCACTGTCACTATCTGTGCCACTTCCCCGTTACCTGGAGTAAACTGTTTTCTCATGATGAACCTCCTATTTCTCATCCAGGTATGTGGGGAACCTCTCAAAGGATGTAACAGAAATTCTGATTCTGCAACTCTTCACCCAGATAGGGCCTTGCAAAAGTTGTAAAATGATCACAGAGGTAAGCAGCCAACATTGTTTGTTGTTGGTTTATGATCTTACAGTATGTTTTTTTTATTTTCCTTATGTTTTATGTCTCCTGCCCCATCATTCACATCTAGAGGGTGACCACCTACTGCTTTTCATCTAAAAGTTGTGAAGAACTTAAACACAGTGATTTCAGTTGTGGTCCCACACTGCTGGGGAATTAACTAAACTAAAATGTGAATACAAACAAATGGACCGTGCTTTTGAGTTGCAGTTACATCTCAGTTGTCTACAAAATAGTGGAATCAACCTTTTGAACGGTTGTGTTTGACCTTGTCCCTTGCAGCACACAAGCAATGACCCCTATTGCTTTGTGGAGTTCTTTGAACACAGAGATGCTGCTGCAGCCCTTGCAGCAATGAACGGGAGGAAGATATTAGGAAAGGTAGGACAGTTTGTCTGGTCTAAAATTAAAAGCAAGGTTAGGCAGCTCTGAGCTCCCCTGTGATCCTTGCGTAGAAAATGTCTATTTCTCAGTTCGCTGCCATACTTTTAAATGCTCTCTGTGAACTCCCTTCTTTCAGGAGGTCAAAGTAAATTGGGCCACCACTCCAAGTAGCCTGAAGAAAGACACATCCAGTACGTGTTCACCTATTGATTTTCTAATCTGCTGAAATCGAAGTCTACCAGAAAATGGTAAACAGTGTCTTTCCTTTTGTTTGTCTTTTGTTTCTAGATCACTTCCATGTTTTTGTGGGTGATTTGAGCCCTGAGATCACCACTGATGATGTCAAGGCTGCATTTGCACCTTTTGGGAAAATTTCGTAAGTTTTCACAATAAAGGGTATTTATTTTTATGTGCAGTACAATAATGTGTATGCTACATTGAAATATTAAGGTACTCATCTGTTAGCTTGTACTCTGAAAAGACCATCTATGACCATGTTTACATGCATACAACATGGATATTGACATTATTCTAAATATAAAAAATATTTAGAAATTCACCCTTAATGTGAAAAAGAATGTCGACACCCTAAAGGTTTTTGCTCAACAGTTTACAAGTTACGTCTGATCTCAGATTCATTCTTTGGTTTTGGGATAAAAACATTGTTGATATCAGGTGAAATCGTGGTCATCCATGAACTTCAAGCTCCCTCCTCTCTTGCATGCAAGAGGTGAAAACCCAAGTTATCTCTTGTGAGACACAATGTTTAGAAAAAAAAAATAGAGTGTTTAGGAGAATAGCTTAATTTTTGTTTATCTTGATGTATTCTTTTTTTTAAAAAAAGACACTACATCCATGCGTGTAAACATAGTTGATGATGGACCAATATCATTTTATTTTCACATGAAAGTGATGATCAGAATGGACTGAAACTCTTAACCATCATATGTATTGCTTTGTGTTTAAAAACACTTATAACAGATTGGAAAATCCTCATTTAAATTATGATTAACCAAGACCATTTCTGAAGTTGAAGTTGTTAGGCGCTTTATTGTAGTTGCTTACTTGTGGTCTTGGTGTGTTGTGTCTCTCTGTTTTTATGACTGAAGTGTCCGCTTTTAGCTCACTCTTGCTTTTCTTTGCATATTTAGGGTGTGGTAAGTAAAGTGTATGTCAGCAAAATGTAAGCTGTGTGTGTGAACCTGAACAGCTTTTAGTTGTGGGTCTCAGTAAAGTAATAGCACTTTGGTTATTTTACAGAAATGCTCATAGGATTGGACAGGAGCTTGAAGGCTAACAGCAAGGAACTGTGCACTCTGGAGACTCAGATGTAGTTTTTTTTCTCTATTTATTCCATTCTTTCCATATGTCTTTATTTGTAGATGCTATATGTCAACATGATCTAGCTTAGATTAACAAATTCTGATACTCAATGTATTCCTCTAAATCTATGTTTAAATTGTCTCATTTTGATTTGCATAGTGTTGTTTATAGTGCAATGACCTCTTCCAAAATTTCTGAAAATGTCAATTTCTCAAAATTTGCAGCTCCCCAAACTCCATACTCCATATTGGTGGTAAAGAATTGACCAGGAAAAATAAAGAAATCTGTTAACAGGCCATGTATGCCTTTTAATTCCTTTTTTTCTCTTTTGATATTTTCTATACGTATTTCTATTTGTAGGAAGAGCACCAACAGCAGATTTTAACAATGCATGGTAATCCATATAATCTGTTCCTTTTGTGAATTTAAATCAGTAGCCTACTGTTGAAGACTGAACAAGGAGTGGTGCTCTAGTGTCAAGGATCCATTAATACATCTGACATTATTTAAAAACAATATTGTAGGATGCATGTATTTGTACTTGTTTTTTTTTTTGTTGTTGTTTTTTTTTTTTTTTCCCCAAGTGTTGCTTTAAAGTTATATTACGAGTCAGTGCTCAGTACAAGGTCACGATAGCTAATGTACATTAATGTAGGACAGAGTAGAGGATTCACAGTTCAGTGTGTTTTGCGTGGTTCCTTTTAGTTTGAAGCATTTAAACTGGAAAGTGCTCTGAAGTTGTTTTCACGTTTCCCTCCAGGGATGCGCGTGTTGTGAAGGACATGACGACAGGCAAATCAAAGGGGTATGGATTTGTGTCCTTCTACAACAAACTGGTAAGGCTCCAGTGCAAGAACACAGACTGAAGGTTATTTCTATTTTCTGTTTATTATCCTACTTTAATGCATTAACTGTAATTCAAATATAATGAATCATAGTTGAAACCATAGTCACAACAACTTTAATCATCTAACATTACATAGTTTATTGTTTACCATCAGTAGTTTCAATATTACTTAAATTAAAAAGAGTAATGCATATTTTTAGTACTGATTATGGTCACCGATAAACTTTATAGATTCATCAAATCCAGAGGGGTAACTGTCTTTGATTTTGGTTTTATAGGATGCAGAGAATGCCATTGTTAACATGGGGGGACAGTGGCTTGGAGGACGCCAAATCAGGACCAACTGGGCAACGCGTAAACCACCTGCTCCAAAGAGTGCCCAGGACAGTAAGTTTTAAAGGCCCTGCACACCCGCACAGGGGATTTAACTTATTTTGGATGATTTGAGCTCTTCTCATGGCGCAGTCAGACCAAACATCCCATTAATTTCTTTGTGTGACAGGGCGAGAAACATTAGCTTCTTAGTCCAGTGGCTTCATGAAATGCCCAGAGCAGAGGTCCAATCAGCCAGGAAAAGTGAAGACAGGGGGATATTGACTAAATTAGATACAGTTTTTTTTAATTTATTTTTTTATGCAGTATTTTTTTATCATCAGTAATATGGTTATGATGATCACATTGCAGAATTACACCTGTTGGGTGCTTTCCTCAGTTACCCCATTAGGTAAATGTAGCTTTCTGCCAGGAGTGGATGTCATCAGCTGATACCCAATCTTCATACAGTGTTTCGACCCTTAACCACAACACTCTCCAGTTGGTGGGTCGGCAGTGGTGGCCAAATCACTGCCCATCCGCCCCTGGCTTCTAGCTTTCCTCCTCTCTCTTGCTCCATATCCAGCAAGAAGCTCGCTCAGCCTCCTCCCCCATCTTACGAGCAGCGTTCTTCTTGCTCATAAGTAGAAGCATTCCCTGTTCTTTTTTCTTAGCAAAGACAGCCGAATAAGCTTACAAAATGGTATCACCTTACCATACCAGACTTTTATTTATTTGATTGATCAACACTGTGTATAAATGTAGAATCACTCCGTTACAAATGTTATTTGTTTTGATTTCAGATGGCTCAAAGCAGCTGAGGTTTGACGACGTAGTGACTCAGTCCAGTCCACAGAACTGTACCGTGTACTGTGGAGGGATCCAGTTAGGACTATCAGGCAAGTTCTGTAAAGATTCGTTGTTACAACCTTTAGTCACGCTACAATAGTCCAAACATAGCCCATACATACACTTTGCTCAAATAGTCTAAGAACTAACCAGATTAACCTTTTTGCTGTTTAATTCTTTCAGAACACCTAATGCGACAGACCTTCTCACCGTTTGGTCAAATAATGGAAATCAGAGTTTTCCCAGAGAAAGGCTACTCCTTCATCAGGTGATGCCTCAGTCCATTGCAGTATTTGGCCTGTAGATGTCAACACCAGCATATTGCATGACTCAGTGACAGGCCAGTCAATACTTGACTCAGTGTCAGTGGCCTTTTCTGTTATGTTTGTCTTTACATCAGTGCTATTGTGAGTGATCAGTCTGCTCAAAGTTTTAATACTGTCTGATACAGATTGATGTATTTGCCTGCTAAGCTGTTCTTCTCCTTTTTAAGGTTTTCATCTCATGAAAGTGCTGCCCATGCCATTGTTTCAGTAAATGGCACAGCCATTGAAGGACACATAGTGAAGTGCTTTTGGGGCAAAGAATCTCCTGACATGGCAAAAAATCCACAGCAGGTAGGGAAAACCTCACTGATAACGAAACTGATAACATAAAATAAAAAATGTTGTTATTAGAGATGAGTGTAGAACTATGACAGGACATGAGAACATCTTGTCCTGTCTTTTTAGCCAAAATTATGAAATGGAAATAGAAATGTTATTACAAATCTCAACATATGTTTGCAGAGACTAAAATTTACTTTTCAAAAGGATTACATTTCTTGCTGTAATATTCTGTTTGTAATATCATTTGCTCCTGATTAGCATCTAATGGGACAGTTAAAACATTTATTCACTTTTTTCTCTCTGATGGTGTCGCTCAGGTTGAGTACAGTCAGTGGGGGCAGTGGAACCAGCTCTATGGGAATCCACAGCAGCAGTATGGGCAGTATGTGACCAATGGGTGGCAAGTTCCCTCCTACAGTATGTACAGCCAGACGTGGAATCAGCAAGGATTTGGAGTAGAGTGAGTTTTACTCTGTAGTATGTATTCAATTAAACTTTTGTATTACTATATTGTCAGACCCCTGTCATTAAATACCTCTAAATCAAGATGGTAACTTGACACTTTCTATAAGATAAAAAACGGATATCTTTCCCTCCAGCCTGGGGAGCATTGATTTATTATTGAGTAACACCGCTGATCTTTATACGCAGTGACCACATTCACACTAACTTGATATTTGGGGCATCTTTGCAGTCAGTCCCAGTCACCGGCCTGGATGGGAGGCTTTGGATCTCCATCAGCCCAGGCTGCAGCCCCGCCTGGTCCAGTGATGTCCAATCTGGCTAACTTCAGCATGGCTGGCTACCAAACACAGTGAACTTAAGTGCAATACCAAGGGGATTTTGTCAACTCTTTTAGACCACACTGCACTCATCTTGACAGCTGCTGTGGTGGAAGAAGGGCAGGGGCCATATTCACAAAGCCTTTGTAGCAAATAGATGTTCCTAAACAACCAGTTTAATAATTATGGTTTTAAGGGGAGTGTCCATTTCATTCAGAACCTTTTAAAAATGTATTTGAAGATAATTCCTAATTCTGTTATGGAAAAGTGCTCTTGGGCCTCTGAAGTAAAGCCAAACCAACTGTCTTTGTTTAAGTAGATGTTAAAGGGCTTGCCAACCATTTGAATGTTCGACCCTTTGAAAATCTTACCCAGAATGTGACAAAGAGGATTTGCAGTGTTGCATGCTTACTGAACAGATATCTTAAAGCAACATTATGTAAGAATTATTTTTCTCCTCTTAGCTTCCTCCTTCAACATCCTCCATAGTCTCTTCAGTCTTTTCGCTTCTGCCATTAATTATGTTGCCCGTCACCTGGCTCCAGCACGACACCAGTGCCGCTTTCTACCACATAAAAAAGCTTGTGTAGTCCTAAACTATACTCAGCAAAAAAAGCAAACATCCTTTCACCTACAACTGCTTTTATTTTCAGCAGACTTAACATGTGTTAATATTTGTATGAACATAAAAAGATTTAACAACTAAGACATAAACTGGACAAAGGTTCACAGATATACGAGTAACAGAAATGGAAAAATGTGTCCCTGAACAAAGGGAGGGTCAAAATCAAAAGTAACAATCAGTATCTGATGTGGTCCTGTGCAGGTGTTGTCAAATGTGGTCTTCCACTGCAAGAACAATCAGCTGTCCTTCCTGTCTCACTTTAGTGCTTTCTTAGGCATCTCACAGTACACACACATTGCCCTGGCAACATCAGCAGTCCTAATGCCTCCTTGCAGCATGCCTAAGGCACGTTCACGCAGATGAGCAGGGACGCTGCGCATCTTTTCGTGTTTTTCAGAGTCATTTGAAAGGTCTCTTTAGTGTTCTAAGTTTTTATAACTGTGACCTTAATTGCCTCGTGTCTGTACGCTGTTAGTGTCTTAACGACCATTCCACAGGTGCATGTTCATTGATTGTTTATGGTTCATTGAACAAACATGAAAGACATTGCTTACACCCTTTACAATAAATATCTGTTAAGTGATTTTTACAGAATTATCTTTAAAATACAGTGTCCTGAAAAAGGGATATTTCTTTTTTTGCTGAGTTTAAATGTACATATAGACACATAACAGCTACGTTAGTAATTATATTGGTTAGTTAGCGTAGTGGCGCTAAAAGCACACTTACTACAAGCAATCAAGAAGCTCACTGGGACATAACAAGGATTATAAGCCTTGGAAATCTCAAACTTTATGACCTTTTGAATTATCAAACTGTAGAAATATCTGCTCTCAGTAGTAGAACAGACTTGTTAAAATGTTTATTTACTTGTCATTTTTCTGTAATTTTATACAACAGAAGACAAAACTCCACTGAAGTCCCCATGCATTAAGGTCATTCCTGTCATATAGGTCAGTATTTAAAATGACATACAGTAATGACAGCGTTGCACAGATAAAGCAGGTATGATTGGTCACCAAGAATGAGCCAACCTGCTAAAAGTTGGTCTGGACTAAGCTTCAGCTCATAGCTAGAAATTCAGTCCTACTTTGATATATGAATGAAAAATGCTTTGTGAATATAGGCCCCGTAACAGTAGTTTACCTTTTCAGTATATGTGAAAAAACTATTTGTATAAACAATTATGGCTTTAAATTAGATTGATGCGGGGCATGGTGTCTCATAGGGTAAATCTTGTGTACAGAGAGAGTTTCACCTACACAGCTCTAAAAGCAAAATATATTAGGTTTTTCCTGTTTTGTATTGGAGTGATCAGCATGTTCTTTGCAGACTTTTGATGGACTAGTTTACACATTAATGTAACTTAGATTGGACTAATATATGTAATCCTGTGTCTCAGAGGAAGGTCTATAAGACATTCTCACTAAGAAAATATTGTAAAAATGATTTAACCCCCAAACTGACTGTGCTGATTCTGGGGCTGGTTTCCTAGAAAAATATTGAATCTTGAGATTTTTCCTTCTCTCTCTTGACAACCTCAGTTTCTTTTTAATGTCTGTGAGTGTTTTTGCGAAGAATCTTGGACTTAATTTAGCACCAAAACCAGCCCCTAATCATATTGCATCGTGTATTTAGATATTTCAAAATGTTGCACCCATTTTTGTAAAGACAAATTGTCTAATGTTTGAGGCTAACTATAAATTGGGATTATTTTATTTTATGTTTATTCAACGGAAAGTGTAAGGTTTCCTAAATATACCATTGGTGTGTCAGGGCAGCGGGCATATTTTCTCAATATTAGCAGAATATTTCCATATATTCCGGGTAGCTGTTTAAAAATAACTGGCACGTTGTGACAAGAGGATTTTGCAATGATGTCTGGATTTTCTGGAATTTGGATTTTACTTGTATATGTGCCATTCTGTACAGTGTATTACACTCCTATTACACACTTGTAAGATCACTCTCCTTTTCCTTTTGTACTACACAACAAACTAATAATATTGTGTTTGTTTATTAGGGCTGGGTGGTGTTCTTCTAACAAAACAGGGTCATGGCTGAGAGTGTAAATAGAAACCTTGATCACAGACCTTCATGAAACTTAAGAAATAATGTACATACTGTAGGTAGAATATTATGAAATGAAATGCCATCATTATAATATAATTTATGAATAAGCCTTAATTGATGTTTTAGTAAATTCAAATTTTTTGTTATTTACAGAGGCTCCATTACAAATCTAAATTCTTTTCCACTGTGGATTTTCCATTATTAAGTTTGTGTGCCATTTTCAGAAAGTTGCAGGAAGCAGGTGATGTTGAACTGCACGCTTATGACATGTAATATATTTGTTGCTTAAAATCCTGAATGTAATGGAAAGTTGCTTTAATGACAGTAATACATCTAAGTTGAACAACAGAAGTGATTTGTAATAATAAAGTATAAAATCAATTTTCCATATAAGTGGAAAAACTCAATAAGTCACTTCAAATAAAGAAACCCTTGAACCTTGTCATTCAGTACATTTATTGGGCACATAATTCAGAACAGAAATTCTGACAAGACGTACATTATTGTAAAATTGTGTTTTCAGCAACTCTACCAGTCACAGTAAATAACATTATTATACGTTTAACTATTAAACTGAGGTTCAGAAGTCTGAACCATCTGAATGTTTTATAGCATGTATTTACTATACATATATATTTGCTCAACCCCCTTTTTGTTTGCAGTAATGCTGGGAAGTATGAAACCTGAACTATGACAAACACATTTTAAAAAACATCCAGTCCACTGGGATAAAACATCCCATATCCAGTTATTTTGTATTTAATAGAAATGTTTTGGGTTTTTTTTTTTTTCATTTTTAATAAATGGCTGTAGATCTTTAATATACAGTGAATACTGTAGACACTGTCTTTGGTCGCTTGTTTGCTCTGTTACAACAAGAAGTTTTGGCAGCTCAGGAAGTGGGAAAAGTTGATGAAAAATTATTGAATCATTACATATAAAGATAAAAAAATTATTTTGTAGATACATCTCACTGAACTGTGCAAATGGGGCTGGTATCTTCTGAGCAGCTATAATAGAAGTTGAACATTCATAAACATGAAATGACTAGCAAAGCAAGCATACTCTTTGAAGTTAGGTGGCATATGCGCTGGATTATATTGCATAACTTTATTTTTCTAACCTACTGTTAAAATAAATGTATATTACACACCACTAATTATATGTAGATTTACATTCAGGTATCATCTACAACATACATTGTATATCTCTGAGCTTAAACTTTAATCAGTTTATTATGTTAGCTCTAGTGCAGTCGCCTAGTAAGCAAAGAATTTCAAAAAGGTATGGATACGCTATTTACGTATTTCCATAAAATGAGTGGCTATAACGTAATAGCTGAAGCAAAGTGTTGAGGTTGTATTGCCATTTTATACTGTCAGTAGTTTATTATTGATCTGACCGTCTAATTGTTTTTTTTCAACCTGAAGAATCCTTTTGAACAGCCTCTGAACATTGGGAAGTTGTGAAGCAGAAAATATTATTGGGTGTGTGACTCGGTCATGTCTCATGTGTGAGCTGACTTCCAGGTAACCCATGATGCTGCTTCTCAGAGGTTAATTACAGATGACAGTTGTACGTGGTGTTGCAAAGTGCTGGGCTCCTTGATGACATCTCACCCTTCGTCCCTCTGTCCACACAAACCAGGACGCTCCCATCTGAGGCAGTTTCATCACTCTGGATAGGGGGAATTCGAAAATGTAACATTTTGTATTTATAAGAATAAAACTAAGAAAGTCTAGTCTAATTTGCTGGAATACTTAAGAACATAGCTTCACTATACCTTTCAGTGTGATAATCCCTAATATTTGTAAGGTGAATCATTGTAGCTGTTTAGTGTTCAATGAAAAGACAAAGCATACAACAAGTTTTGAGAATATCTTTAACCTATTTCCATACTCACATCATCATTGCTCACAGTCAGTTTCCCTGCTGTTTCGTTCCTTTTAACTTTGTCTTGTAATCCCAGTTTTGCCATAATTAACTCAATCCTGGATGTGATTCCTGCCACAGAGCTTTCAAGGAGGAGAACCTGTCTGGCCAGTCTTTCGTGGTGAGAGAAAGGTAATTCAGTTTTTGGTTAATGTCCACTGCAATTTATTTTTCTTGTTTGACGTTTTAATGGTTAAATGTAAAAACCTTTCCTCACTTTAGAAACTGTTCCCGATCCACAAAGGTATGACTGGAGTGGTTCTTTTGCTCATCAGATGTTACAGGAGGCTTTTCTAGTAATTCTTTCCCATAAGTCAGTCCAAGATTGTTGAGTTCAGCAGAAAGAGCATCCTGCCAAAAAATTGGAGAAACCATCATAAAAGCACAGCTGCTTCTGTATTGTATTGCTTGTCAAGCTAAAAAAAGAAACAATTTTAAAAAAATGAATGAAGGTTTCACATTCATCTTGTAAATCAAGTCTAACAGAGTTTTACACAAACCCTCTTTTCTTCCAGCTCGATTTTCATCCTCTCTTGTTCGTGTTCGTCTAGAATTTGGTTCCCATCACGGTCAAACCGTGAAAAGGCTGCAGAAATTTCATGATCAGCATGTCCCATCCTATGAGATCATCAGAGCGGTGAGGGTTACATTTAATACTACGGTTAGCATCTGCTCTTCTTTTTGATATTTAGTCACTTACTCTTTCAAAGTTTCTCTGAAGTCCTTAAATTCAATTTCTCCAGAACCAGATCGTAGCGCTTTCTGAACATCGGCTATTTTCTCCTTTTTAAGTTTCAACTTTGTAAATGTCTTCATGTAGCTCTGAATTATAAGAGAACATGTGTTACTCTTGTAAAACCTTCTATAGATGTATACATTTTAACATTAATCTGATGTTTGCGTTTACCTGCTTGATGATGTCAGTAATCTGCAGGTCATCTTTTTGTGATGAGAGCTCCTCCTTAACCTCAGAATATGTGTCATTTATGATGGCCAGAAACATGTTCTGAAGGACAGATACATAAAGGGATCATGAGAGTGCTCATCTTTTTCATTTTAACATCAAGCATGTTGTGAAGCAGAATGACTTACCAGTAGAACAAAGAAAACAAAGAACACATATGTGACAAAGTAGATTGGCCCAAGAACTCTGTTAGCACGGTCGATGGCATTGAAATCAAAGTCTCCAAGAATAATCCTGAACTGTGTGAAGCTGCAGAAAGAAAAGAATCCATTCATTAATTCTCAATCATCCTATTTAAACATTTCCTGCTGAGGCGCTGCTGTGGACATCTCTTACATGCACTTGACGAATGTGCTGAAAGATTCAACCTCTGTCCCAAAGAGCAAATATCCAAGTTGAGCATAGGCAAAGAACACAATGAAGAACATGATGGCGAAGCCCAAGATATCTTTAGCACATCGACCTAGTGTGGAGGACAGCTGGGTCATGGTCTTGTTAAAACTGATGTACTTGAAAATCTAAAGGACAAGAGGAAAACACAGTCTTGGGGTGACGCCAGAGCCAGATCATTTTCCTGAATGTGTCAGACTGAAAGGTGTCATTACTTTACCTTGATCCAGGCAAAGAACAAGTTCACTGCATTCATGTTGTTGTACTGTGTTTGCCAGAAGGCCAGAAATTCAAAATCAGCGTAGATACCAGGTTCGTCCAGCAGTTTGCCAAGCAGTTTGTTCACTTTGACAGTTCGGAAAACATTGAATACGATGGCGACGATGGCGAGCTGGGAAGGAGAATAATTTTACTTCCTTGAACCCAAGCAGAATCAGATAAAAGGATATGTTTGAATCAAATAAGATTTTCTTACCATTATGATCACAATATCCAGGATGTTCCAGATGCTTTTGAAATAGGAGAACTTGTGGATTCGCAGCTCAAGAATCTCCTCTACAACATAATAGAGGATGAATAAACAGAAGACTATCTCGCAGCCGAGGATGAAGTAATCCCAGTGGCTGATGTAGCGGATCAGTTTGACTGTTCTTATCTGGTAGGAAGGGATCGCTCCGCCGGTCGCTGGGAATTCAACCACCAACCTGAAAGAAGTGGATAAAACTTTGGTCAGCCTATGGTGAGCGGATTACCAACCAATTGGTAAAGTCGTCAGTTGTCAATGGTGCTGTTTACCTGATGACACAGAACATGTTGATGTTTGCGTTGTACGTGGATAAGTCGATGAAGGCTACTCTGGTTCCTCGGTCAAGCCACAGGTTGTCCACCAGTTCCGTCAGTATGATGGTGCTCTCTTCTTTGGTCCGACTCAGGTCTTGATAGTATCCCGCTCCACTGTATGTGGTCAGCAAGCCCCAGTGAGAGGAACCTTTGATTTCTTTCTCCGTGTGGTAGGTCCAGCTGCAGAGGAAATAGAACATTTTGCTGTACTTCTCTGCTCTAACTGTATACCCAGAGTAACCCTGCAAGCTAAAACAGTGAGTGGCTTACGCAGTGCCATTGAAGAGGCCGAAGCTAAGGTCATCCTCCTTCTTCTCACTGTAAACATCGAAACATCCTATGATCTCATTTTTGAAGTCGTTGTGGACCTTGCATGAGTTGTTCATGATCTTGATCTGCCTCATTCTGGGGACTCCCAGCAGCATGTTCTCATAGTAGATAAAGGACTGGTCTCCACTGTTCAGGGGCTGGTTATTGTACCATTTAGTCCAGTAGAGGCCGTCCAGTAATGGGCCCTGGGTGTACTGTTCATATTAAGAGAGGGTAGATGCAGATTGAATTGCATGCAGAGGAAATTTAGTATTGTCATTTCCCATTGTGGTGAATATTGAGGAAAACTTACGGTCCAGAAGTCGGCCATGGTGCTAATGGATTGAAAACTAACCCCAGTTGCACCAGCTGTGTTCACAAACAGGTCCGTCATGGCTTTAGTGTAATAGTAGGTGCTCGAGTTGGTCATACCGTATGTCACTGAAAGACAACATAGGTCAATTTTATTTATATAGCATAATATCACAAACCGCAAATTTGCCTGTAGGGGTATTACAGTCTATACAGCATTAAACCCTCTGTCCTTAGACCCCCAACCACCCAAACCCCACCCAGGAGGGATCACTCTCACAAGACGGACAGATATAATAGATGTCGTGTAATCACACAATCACATGTGATCACATTGTTAACTCCCGATCATTGATTCCAATCTGGCTTTGCTCAGGCTCAGCTCTAAATGTTGATCCATTCAACAGTCCAAGACAAAACAACTTAGAAGCAGACACGCAAGGCCTTATTGAAGACTTGTTGCGTTTATGTGACTGCAGTCGAATAGATCCAGATTAGAGGCCATAATTTGTTTGAAGAGAAGGCAAGCTGGCCTGACGCAAATGGCCTCATCAAACAATGTAAATCGAATCTAGACAAAGCAACAATGGACAGGCCCAAATGCTCTTATCACTAAAAGGCAAGAGAGCGGTGCCCATGTCCCTTTCACTCCTAATGCTCAGCTGGACAATGGCTTTCAGGTCGAGGGATGGGGAGGG